GCTCACAGCCTCTTCCACCTTGACCTTCCCCGCAAACAGAGTCATCTGTCACTCTGCCCCATCCCCCTTCTCTCTCTCCTGTCCAGCTCTCGGGGTTTAGGGACAGGGAGGACGGGCACAGGGAAAGGAACGGGGGACAGGTCAGGGGCGGGGAAGCGAGGAAGAGTCCCAGTGGGCTCTGCACCCACGACTGAGAGCGGGTGCCGCGTGAGACCCGGGGCGGGGGAGGAAGCGGGTGCTCATGTTGTTTGTAAGCTCTGGGGATACAGCAGCTGCCCCAGGGGACAAGGATCCCCGGCCTTGCAGGGGACATAGGAAGAAGACCGGGTGGGTGCATGTGACAGCACCCAGCGCGGGGGGTGGCACACAGGAGACACCCCAGCCGCGTCCTGTCCTCTGTCACCTCCGTCCTCGACCACACCTTGCAGCTCCCCTGAAGGCTTCCGATCGCGTAAACAAAGCTGGAGCCCCATCTGGCTGAGACGGCCGGCCATCTGGAGAGCCGGAAACGAGGGGAAACGTCTCATGACTGACTCATTTTTTCCAGTTTTCCAGCCAGATGTTAGATGCCATCCAGGCCCATCTGGAGCCGAGATTATTGAAACTCTTCTCCGTAATCTTAATTTCCCTGTCCTAAAATCCTAAACGCTCTGTCTTTTCTTAGTAGGTATTTGAAAAAAAAAAAAATGAATTGAAAAAGGCGATGAGTGACTCATGAGGAATGTAGGAATCGAAGGTGGAAATATCAGGCGTTTGAATTAAAGGGGCCTTTAGATCATCTCCAGGTCTCGAATCCGGCAGCGCATGAGTCAAATCCAGCTACGAGCTGAGTCTGGACTGGCCAACAGCATGTCTGCAAGAAGTTGAATTAACTGTCCACATTTTAAAAGTCAAGAGATGTTTACATCTGGTTTTTAAAGATGTGGAATATTGGGCCAACTTGGTACGATTTGGGGCGTGCCTTACGCTGCCGGCATTGTCCCCGAGGCGGCGCGCCCACTCTCCCGCTGCCACAGTCCCCACCCCTCTCTGCTGCCCCCACATCGAGACCGAATTTTAGTTGCCGTCCTGTCTTCTCGGTCTCATCGTCAAGAGGGCGGTGAAGGCCGCGTGGTGACGGGACGGTCACCAGCGGCCGGGGCTCCCTGCGCCCAGGCTGGCGGTCTTTCTGCGGCCTGAATACATCACATGACCACAGCCGGGGACATCAAGAGCTTCTCCTCATGGGCACGTCGGACGGGAAACACGTTCTCACCGAGTCCCCACGCTGCCTCTGCACACACACGGCGGGGGGCGGGGACCCGCTCCCCGGACGCCTCGCCCGCTCCCCAGGAAGTGAGTCAGGTGTGGGCGTCTCTACGGGGTTCCTGGGTGCGGGTATCTCTACGGGGTCGACGGGCGCTTCATTTAGAGCGAGTCCCTTGCTGTCTCTGAGCTGCTGCTTGTCTAGTGGCTCCTGTGGCCCTACAGATGCTACACAGCAGGCTGGGCGTGCGAGGTGAGGCTTCCGAGTGGAGGCCCCCTGCATCCAGGCACCCTCACAAGCTAACGTCTGTCCCGGGAGCGACCTACGCCCGGAGCACGAATTAGCATCCCCTAGCAAACGCCCTGGGAAGCAGCCCCGACGCCTTAGGAGAAGCCATGCCTACCGAGCCCAGGTATGTGACTTTGGGCAAGTAACACACCTCCTGCAGGCCTCAGTTTCTCCATCTGCAAAATAAGGGTAACAGGGACACCCTACATCGCTGAGCTCCTTCGAAGACGAAAGTTCACTTTTCAAAGTTCTTCGAACAGTCCTAGCACCTGGTACATGCTAGATATACATGACGTACAGTCTGGTGAGTTACAGAAATAAAACCTGGAAATGGCCCTTGTCTCACCTGACTGACATGATCTTTGCTCACACGCTCAGCCCTCCTCAGGTCCACTGTAAATACTCGATACCCGTCAGCTTGAACATCAGCTTGAATTTTAGAAAACTCAGACTCTATTGAGCCACTGCAGAGCTGTGGAAGCAGAGACTCTAGTTGTGGGGCCTGATAATCTATTTTTTTTTTTAAGCTCCTCATGTGATTCCGATAACGAGCCAAGTTTGGAAAACAATTAATGCACTCGACGATCTTGCTTGTACTTGAATACCTTTGGTGATGGGGAGCTCATCACCTCTTAAAGCTTTTAATTCCACATGGGATGCTTTTTTTTTTTTTTTATAGTAAGGAAAAAACTGTTTTCCTGTAGCTCCTACCTCTACCCCCTTGTATGAGGCCACGCAGAGCACTTCCAACCTCTTTTCCCTGTGACAGCTCTTCGGGTATTTGCAGACAGCTGTCACACGCCTGATGAGCATTTTCTTCTCTTGGACAAAATAGCTACATTCTCTCATGGCTCTTACAAAAATACGTATGAACTGACCCTTCTAATTTGATTTTTTTTTTTTTTAATTTAGACATTTCAATACCGGCGTTATTCTCTGGGGTTCTGATTTGATATCTTAAGCGAATAAGTTAGAAGACCCTCCCTACCCTCCAGTTATCCTTCGATACTTAAAGGACCAGAAAAAAAAAAAAAAGGGATGCTGAGTCTGTGAGAGAGAGGAGGCACCAAACGGGAGATGGCTCTGCAGGTTCCCTCCAGCAGAGCGTGGCTCTGTCTCCTGCATGTGTCTTCCTGTGCAGAAGTCAGAGGCTCCTGCAAATTCCTTGAACACGTGATGTAGAAGATAAATCACGGTTTCAAATTTCAGCCAAGCCCATCTAGGTGTTGGTTATATGTGTGCACATGCAGCCAAATTCATTAAAATGTATGCATCTTACTGGATCGTACATCCAGTAAGTGGCTGGGCTGAATTTCATGGAGACTGCAACTAGATCTCTCTAAAGAATTCACCTGAAAGACCATCTCTCAAATTCATCCCATTCCTTCTTGATTCAAATTCTCACTTCTCACAGAATGCCTGGGCACGGTGGTGGTGGTGGGGGTGGTTTCCAATTCCTTATGTGAACCGTGGGCTACGAGATGATGTAGGAGGACGGAAAAATCATCTGTTGAGACATTCTAAGGGCTCAGAAATCTTAGAACCTCTGGGGGAAGCCAAAATTGGTGTTTAATTGTGCAGTCCAACGTTTAGTTCCAAGAGCTGGAGAATCCCAAAGAACTGAAGCCTGATCTATATACATGCCTTAGGAGGAACATGGCTTAGTAGGAACCTTGGGCTTTTTTCCTGCCATCCCTGGAACCACGTAGGCATCAAAACACCCACCAAAGTACAGCTTTACAAAAGATGACTCAACGCCTTATCCTCGGTACAGGAAAGGGAATTGTGGGGCTTCGCCACACCCGACCACCACAAACAACCGCGAGGGTTAGCTTTCTGCCAGCGTTTAGGAAAGAACTGTTGTAGAATTCGCATCGGCACACGGGGTGCGACGTGAGGCTTGGATAGTGCTAAGGCAACACCACTCGTGTCACACGAATCATCTCGCAGATTAATACACCAAGGGTCGGAGAGGGCGAACGTCTTAGCCAAAGTCATGCAGGTAGTTTGCAGGGTTACCGGGGACTCTGACGTCACCCACAGTGATGCTCGCTGCGTTCGAAGTAGTCCTTTCTCACTTGGACTTCCCACCAGTTGCAAATTCGTGTCGGGAACAGACTCCATAGCAGTGGTGCACCAGTCAGGAGCCCAGTCAGGAGATGGGAAGGAGGCCAGGGAATGATGCAATATTACCCTAGCAAGTGATGTCATAGCATGATTTCCTAAACGATCGACACAAATGCAAGTTCTGAGGAAGCCCTGACAAGCGCCAGCCAGTGGGGAGGCAGGCAGGGAGGGCCAATGACAGGCAGGGCAGAGGAGCATGGAGGACGCCCGGATCTCCTGGCCCGTCACTTTGACAAGCTTCCCAGACACCTTAGAAGCCTGAGAGATCTCCCTCTGCCCCTCTAACCCGGGGACATAGGCTCCAAAAGCTTGGATTTTTTCTTCTCTGTTTTTCTGTTTTCTCCCAATGACATCCAGCCACTGCCCAGCGATGCTGAGAGTGACTCTTGGTGCAGGGAAAGCAAGTTTAATGGTGAGACAGGCTACTCAGGAGCTTGGCATTTGAAAACCGAATCGTCTTTTTTTTGTTGTTATCATCGAGGGAAGCTGCCATTCTTAGAGAATCAATCTCATGCAAATATTATGGAAATCTATTTGTTGGGTTTGGGGCTGACTTAGAAAAGAAGACAGGTGGATACCAAATACCAAGATCTCAGTTTTGTTTCGATCCCCAAATAATGAAATGGGTATTAATAAAGAAGTTTTCTCAAAATGTGCGTGCGTGTGCGTGTGTGCGCGCGCGTGTGTGCGTGCATATGTGTGTGTGTGAGCGTGTATGTTTGTGGGGTTCACATACGTTAGTCTGGAACCGGTTAGCAATGGAAGTTCGTGAAAACAGCTAGTTAGCCCCAACTCAGAAGAAACTGAGAGCACCACGTTAAGAAATAAGAAAATAGCTCCCAGCATGAAAACAGCTAGTTAGACCCAACTCAGAAGAGACTGAGAGCACCACGTTAAGAAATAAGAAAAGAGCTCCCAGTGTATCAGTCTATGTCTCTCTCTCTCCCCCTCCGTCCCTCCCCCCCTCCACCACTGAAAATACAGTTCGAGCAGAGCCGAAGACCCCATCTCAAGCCAGAGATCAAAGCGGTTCTCACATGCCTAGGGATTTTGTGCTCAAAGACTTTCCCCAACTGCAGAAGCTGCCTAGAGTGCCACGAAAAATCTCCCGTCATGAAGCTCACACCTAACACAACCAACAAGATATGCAGCCCTTCCTCCGACACAGCCCAGCGTCAGCACTTGCTGGGAACGTCTCCGGATCAGACATCTGCACCCTCTCAGCAATAATGCGAACTATTCCTCTCTCCCCATCACCGCTTCTGTCTCCCCCAAACCTCCCGGGGGAATATCGGAGGAGCTGGGATACTGGGGGCCATTGAGAGGAATTTGTAAATACCTTCTAGGCAGCAGGTCCTCCACAGCCCCGAGTGGGTCATGACTTCTTCATTCTTCCTGCTGGTTTCATTATCACCTGTAGATTTAGTCCTGCACACACCTCTGGAATATAACCAGTAGTCCGTGCCCACTGCAATGGTCATCAAGCTAAAAGCTGCGAAGGCCCCCACAGTGGTGATCAACATCTGGACACCCCTGTCACACATCCTCATAATTCTTCATGGTACTCTAGACGGCTGGGGGTTGGAGGGGAGGTTCAATGCCAGTGGGAAAAATCACTCAGCAGCTGGGTAACCTAGGACAGGCTCCTCCAAAGATTCGGGTCCCCTTTTGTCGGCATCCACAGGGACTTTGGGAAAGCTGGGATTTCCTGGCTGGAGGTCTCTCCAGTTCTCCGGGTCGCCTATGGCCCTCGGTAGGGTGCAGGCTCCAGGGGGCTGGTCCGCATCACTGCTGCCTTCTGAGGGTCCCTGGGACCCTTTCATTCCTCAGGAGCTTGGTAAGGATGAGGGTCTGTGCAGGGCATGGCTTCGGAGCCTGGAGCCACCAGCTCGGCGTGAGATGCGCCTGGCTCCTCACAGCCCCGGGAGACTCAACGCAAAGAAATCCAGAGAGGTCTGTGTCTGTGTGTGTGTGTGTGTGCGTGCGTGCGTGTGTGTGCGAGCGCGTGTGCTGGGGGTGAGGGCGGATGGCAAAAAATAGCTCTGCTGGGAGGCGAGTCGCTGAGAAGAGTGTTCGCTGCTTCCCCAGCCTCCCAGGAAAGCTCTCCGCCTGCTCCCGACACCCCCGCGCAAACTGGAGAAAAGACAGTCCCGGGCGGGGGCCGGCGCGCCCGGCGGAGGGCAGAGG